CGCGCATGCCCTAGCCCCCACACTCTGGAGCCCATGGCACTGGGAGAGTTTTCCCTCTCCTGGGGGACCACCACTGGCAGGGCAACGGTGGCATGGCCAGGTGGGTCAGTAGCAGGCAGGTTCACGCCATGCAGCCACTCGGCCCGGCATGCAGCCTCCCCCGGGGACGTTACCTCTTCCACCAGCTGGCGAGGCGGCTTTCTCTTTCTCTTTAAACTACCCCAAGTGTTTCCTAAAAGCCCCTGGCAACGCTTCCAAAAGGTTTTACAGCCTGAGGGTTTAGTGGCGGGGAGCTGAGCGGGGGGAGAGAGAGACACAGAAAGAGTTGAGGGCAGAGTGGGCGAGGAGCCACAGCAGGAGAGCGCAGGCAAAGGAGGTGGTGCAAGCTGGTCCTCAGCCCTCAGGCATTGCTTGGCATCAGCACAGCCAAAGATCCCTCTCCTGAGACTGACACAGCCCCAAAAGTTCGCTTGGAAATGGCCTGGGGAGGTCCCAGCATGGGGGCTACCCCGCAGCCCTCAAAGCCTCCCGGTCTGCATGGGGGCACAGCTCCGGGGAACTGCCCTGGCTGCACGGCAGTGGCCGGCCCTGGGATAGGCACTGGGTGCTCACCCATGGCTCTGCCGAAGCCGCCTACCGTCCCCCACATACCGTCCGCAGCGCCTCCTCCCCCGGCCGCTCGCTGCCGGCCACTGCCTGTGCCTTCTTCTTCTCGCCCTTCTTGCCGATGCTGAGGATGAGGTTGACCGTCCCCCCCAGCCCGCTGGGGCCCCGTGGCCGCAGCAGCAGTGTGGAGGTCTCAGCGGGATCCCAGATGACGGCCTCCTTGGGGGGTCCTGCACTGTGGGGTGTTGAGCTGCTGGGCTCCCCCCAGCTCCGCTCCACTCCTGATGGGGCATCTGAGAGGGGCGATGCCAGTGGGGAGATGACCGTTCCTGCTAGCAGCTGTGGCTCTGATCTTTGCACAGGCTCGAGGAGGGAGCAGGGCGTGAACTCCACTGGGCTGTGGATGCTCTCCAGCTGGGGCTGAGCACACAGGGCATGCTGCTCCTGGGGAGCGAGGCAAGAGAGGCAACGTGGAAGAAGGGCTGCCAGGGCCAGGCACTTTCTCAGGACAATCTTCCCTTTGCCCTGCCTGAATGCCAGAGAGTCGCAGAGGTATTGGCACACATCCCTCCCCTACTTCTGCACCACCCACTCCGTCCAGTGCCTCTGCTACCCTCAGCCTTGAGGCCAGTCCTATTCCCCGACAGTCTCAACGTGGCTAGGTACTCACTTGGCCGGTGGGGGACGTGCCCGAGGGGCTCTCTAGGTCCCTTCTGTCCTCCTGCTTGCTCCCTGGGTCCCGCTGGTGCCTCTGTGCTCGCCAGCGCACCAGCACCCAGCCCAGCATGCTCTGCAACTCCTCCAAGCGCTCCTTTATCTGAGGGGAGGAGAGATGCTGGGCAGCCTACAAGGACCCCTGGCCCATGGACACTGGCCCTACCAGGACACCTCACTAGGGAGCAGTTTAGGAGGTTTTTGGGACCGGGATACAGTCAGTCACATCACCTCAGGTCTCAGCATCCATTGCCAAGTGAAACCCCTTCCTGTCCTGAGCAGCCCCAGGGATGCATGACTGGCCCTGTACCACTTGCTGGGGTTCTGCACCCGCACCTTGCTCTCTCCTCCAGGGATTGTCCCCAGAGGATTTCAGGGGGCGCTGAGGGTTTCCCCGACCCCATTCCCCCCATCCTTACTGTTGCGCTCAGGTCGTGCTCCTCAGACACCAGCTGCTGCCCCACCGCTGCCAGCGCCTCAAACTCCTTGAGCTTCCCTTCAATCCTCCTCTCCAGCTCCTCACATGGAGTCTCCGGGAGGCCATGGCCGCTAGGGCTTTCGGAGAAGATCTGAGCCCGTGTGTCCTCCGTCCAGGAGCTGTGGGCACGTGAAGGATGGGCTGAGGGGCCTGAGGAACGATCCAACCCCTCCTCAGCCCTGCAGGCCCCAGGGAAGCCATTCCCATGCTCAGGGATGGCTGCAAGCAGCTCGCTGGGGTAGCAGCAAGTCTGGCAGGGCAGTACAAGATGCCGTGGAGCTGCCCCACAGCAGGCAGCCCTGGCGCAGCCCTTCATTCCAGGCTCCCCATGGTCTTGCCTGGCTGCAGCTCCTGCACTGCCCACGTACTCGCCAGCAGCCCATGCTCCGGCAATGCCATGCTCTCATCAGCTCCCCCCGCAACCACCACAGAGGCAACCCCGATGGCTCATCGCCACTTACATCATGGCTAAATAATCCTTGAAGAAATGCCGCAGCCGGCCAGCCTGCTGCACGTGGGCCCGGGTCTCCCGCAGCAGCTCCCGCAGCCCTGCCCAGGCACACAGCGTCCCCTGCACCTCCCGGCTGACGGGGCACAGCCGAGCAGGGCAGAGCTCTTGCAAGCGGGCAGCTGCCCTCTCCAGCTCCTCCAGCTGCCCCTGCAGGGTCTCCGACACTGCACGCTAAAGGTCACAAGGCAGAAAAGGTTCAGGATGCATCCAACCCCTCTGCGCCCAGGCTGGACTCCCCTGCATTCTGGGATGCAGAGATGGAGGGGAGGATGCACAGGGGCTGCAGGGAGCGGGCAGAGCCACCGTCGGCGGGGAGGATGGGCAGAGCAGAGGGCTGCCTGGTTTCCCCGCTCTGCTCGCGTGAGTCACCTCCCCACTGTCGGGAAGATGAGCGAGGTGCTGGCAGACAGGCGCTGGCACACAGGAGCTGACGCAAGCTTTCCCCGTGCGCCTGGCCCGCGCTGGCAGAGGGGAGCGGAGCGGGGCAGGGCTCAGCTCCGCTGGAAAATTCCAGCCCGGCCCGCTGTGGCGTGCCAAGGCTTACAACACCTGGGCCCCCGGGGGCCAGCACCTCCCTGGGACGGCCCCAGTCAGCCGGGACACCTCCCCGCCACGGACATGGCCAGCCACAGGGCTCCCCGGGTCTCACCTCCATCTCCTGCTGCCGGCTCAGCAAGCCCTGCAGCCCCTGGAGGTCCTTCTCACTCTTCACCGTGGTGAAGCCGCTCTCTGCTTGAGCAGTGTCGCGAGCCAGTGCCTCGGCTCTGCAGCGAAGGGCCTCCAGGCGCGGGGACACCTCTGCCACCTGGATGGGTGGGGGTGGGGGGAAGAGAGATGAGCCCTGGCGGGGGACCCCCTGTGCCACCACTTGCCACGCAGCCTCAGCCCACTCCAGCCTGGGGGCACCCTGCCATGCGCCTGCAAAAGGGCAGGGAGCACCAGCCACAGGAGGGACAGGGATACCAGCCTCGCGCAGAGCAGTCCCCATGTATCCCAATGCCCTTGTGTCCCACTGGGACCAGCCAATGCGCATGCCCTGTCCCAACTAGCCGGCATGTCCAGCTGCAGGTGGACCACCCGGCTGCATCCCCAGACCCCCCGCCTCCATCCCCTACCAGGCGCTCCAGGCTCTCCGTCTCTGCTGCCACCTCCATGACCCGCTCCCGCTCCTTCGCTGCATCGTTCAGCATCTCCACGGCCTCCTGCAGCTCTCCCAAGGGGCAGCTCATGTCCTCGCTGCTTGGCAGCTGCCCGGCCTGGGCCGAGAGCAGGGGAAAAGACCCCTGCAAGCCACAATGCCCACTCCCTGGCTGAAGCCAACAGAAACACCAGGCATGAGGGAGATGGGGAGCATCCCCCCAGGCAGCTGGGCCAGAGGGGGGCACCCACAGGGTCCCCCTGCCAGCCACAGACCAACCCTTGGGCCAGTCCCAGGTGCTGGGCAATCCCGAGGGACGCCTAGCCCCACTGCTCACCGCTGCAGGTCCCTGCCGGCTCCGCGCGTCCTCCTCTTGCAGGTCCTGCAGGAACTCAGACAGCACCAGGGAGTCACGCAGGTCTGCTGCCCGGCGCCGCAGGGCTGCCTGCACTCGTGCCAACCTGTGGGGACAGGTGCCCGTCACAGGTGCCAGCACCCTCCACACCTCCTCGAGGAGAGCATCCTCCTCCCTGCACCTCCTCGGGTGTCTCCTCGCACCTCTTCAGGGCAAGAATCCTCCTCCCTGCCCACCCCAGGGGACCAGAGAGGAGGAACCTGCCCCCGCAACTCACTTCTCCTCCACCATCTCCACCTTCCTCTGCATCTTCCTCGCCCCCTCGTGCTCGGCGGATGTCTCGCCCGCCGCCTCCTCCCGCAGTGCCTGGAGCTTGAGGCCGCACAGCAGGAGCTGCCTCTCCAGTTGGCCCGTCTCCTCCCG